ATATATATATATATATACATACATACATATATATATATATATGTATGTGTACGAAGGGTTTTGTGGGTAATGAATGAGTCATTGTTTGTAAAAATGGTGGAATTGTTTTTATGATTGCAAAACCTTTTATTATTGATGTGATTAATCCCTAGTTTTATGGTAAATTAAAATGTATATGTTATATATATATTCCACAAAAGTATAATCACTAAATTAGTATAAACAATATTTATAAGGAATTACAAATTGTACGTGTAATATGTAAAAGATTAGTTTGAAATAGAACATGTAAACGATTTGTATGCACTCATTTATTTAAATTATATATTGAAAACAATGCTAATTATTAAAAAAAATATATATATACCGTAATCATAGCCCTAAAAATATTACACACATAAATATGTAAAATATATATATAAGTATTTTTTGTGCTTTACTTTTCCACCCTCTCCTTTTAATATATCCCAATGAAATTGGAAAAAAAAAAAAAAAGAATTAGAAAAAGAGAAGAATGATCAAAGCAAACAAAAAAAGTAAATATATACTTAAATATTTAGAAAGAGACATTTCATTTTTTATTTTTATACCATTACAATTAGGTATAAATTTTATTTTATTAATAAAATTATTACATGACATTAGATACGTTACTATTTTTCGTTAAATAAAATTATGAGTTTGTCGTTTAAATATTTAGTTATATGGTACTGACATCGTAAGAATATAACTAAATTGATATGATCTATACCTCCATCGTGAACTGATTTAGATTTAAAAATCTTGTTACGTTAGATAACAAATTTATAAGATATATGACATCTAATGGTAAATTTTATTTAATTAGAAATAGTTACGTATCAAATTCGTTATTTCGTAAAAATTTCGTAAATTCGTTGTTTCGTGCTAACTCAATCAACAATATTTTATATAAATATTTTTTAAAAAAATATAATGAACAAATTTTAATTATGTATTGTCTTTGATCCACTTAAGCCCGAAAATAACAGTTAACAATTAATTTTTGAGTTAAAATCGAAAATAAATTAAATAAAATGGTTAGCATAAGTAAACTTTTTATTTTTTTAATCTATAAAATAAAAGCAATGATACTATAAAAATGGTAAATAGTGCATAAAAGTACGTGCCAAAATTAAATATAGAGAAAAAAAAAATAGTGATTAGCGTAGGATTAAAGTTAATTAATTAATTATAGTAGTTATGACTTTATTTAAAAGATAATACAGTTCTAAGTGCTCATGCAGTTAGAAGAGCAAATAACACGTGCAAGGGAACAATGGTTTCAGTTCTTCATGTACTTAATACACATGACGACCTCTCAAAATTAATAAATATTATCATATAATTAATTTTATTAATTACATTAATAATGCATGTTTCCTTAGATCTGCCTGATTAATTTTATATAACATAATAATAAATAATTTTTAAATTATTAATTGATATTTCATTTTATAGAAAATTATAAAATTTAGTTGGATTATTATTATTATAATCAAGGCGTATGTATTATTTTATTAACAAAATTTTATAAGTATTTATTAAAAATTTATATAATATAGTTTTATACAAACATTATTGATTGGGAAGTGACATGAATTTAAGGTAAGATTAAGAATGCTATTAATTATTATTAAAGTGCTAGCAAATCAAGTATTATTGCAATGAGTTGTAATTATTCTTAGGTGTTAGCGTGTTTCACTTTATATATGTAATTATTATTTAACTAACTTTCCCTTTTTTTTTTTTTTTTTTATAGTTATCAACAATAGTGTTTATAATTTTTATGTTATATTTTAAGATAATAGAGTATAAATTTTATTAATTGTAACACCCAAATTTATTATTTTTATTTTTTAATTTATTTTAATTTATATTAGAATTTTAGTTTAATTTTTTAATATTTAATTTATAAGGTTTTAATTTAATTTAATTTAATTTAATAAAAATAAAAATAATAGTAATGATAAAATATGGTAAAATTATTTTTGAGATTTAATTGAAATTGATTTTGGGAAAAATGGGTGAAAATTTAGATTTTGAGGGTATTTTTGAAAAGAAAATCGGAAACCGAGGGTCAAAATACAATTTAGGAAAGTTGTACCACGTCAGCAGCCACATCAGCAGCCCAGTCAGGAGCCCTAGCCAACCAGAACACGCCACGTGATAAGGAAGCTGATGCACGAGGCCACGCGAGACGGAGCCACGTGGGTGATCCGCGTGCACGCGATCGAACGGTCCAGATCTCATACGTGCGGACGGCCCAGATCTCACGCGCACAGACGACCCAGATCTCACGCGTGCGGACGGCCCAGATTGAATCACGCACGGACGGCCCAGATCGTATTTTGATGGACGGTCCAGATTTATTCTCATTTTAATCGCGATTGGACGACACATATTAAATCGTGATGGACGACTGAGATTAAAAGGGAAAGGTTATAAATAGCCTCACCCACACCCGACCCCAAACCCTAGCTGCCAGTACCCTCGCCGGAGCAAAACATCAAATCGCGACTCGCGCCGGAGAAGCCGCCGCACCCGAGAGCTCCGCCGCTGGTAAGTTTTGATTTTTTTATGATTTTTTGGCCCACCGAGGGCCCTAGGGTTGTTTTATCGCATGAACCAATGCAAGTTTGGCCAAATTCGGCCAACCCGAGACGGATCGCTGCCGCGGGCGACGGTGCCGTTGTCGAAGCACGGCGGAGCCGCTGTGTCAGAATTCCGATATTGGCCGAAAAAGGGGCCTGGGTCTGATTTGGGGGTTTTTTGGGATACGTGCAGGTACCGGAAGCGTGTTTTAGTTCCCGTAAAAAAATTTAGGGAATTTAAGGACAGCCCGTAGGCACAGTGTAAAGCCGATTTCAGACCCCGAAACAAGTAAAAATTTCTCACCCTATTTCCTATCACGGTATTAAAGTTCAATAAATGATAAAACAGTATTTTTGTGAATTAATGGATGTATATAATTGCTTAAGGTTGCTAATAGAGCCCGAATCTGGTGTATTTGTCGGTCAGTTATTGTTTGATCTATTTTATAGTTTCAAATGCAGTATGGTACTTGATGTGGTTATTTTATGGTTTCGTATGCATGAATCTCGGTTTTATTTATTATGGTTTGAATTATGGTGAACCCGATGTTGTGTTGTTTGTTTGGTGCTCATTACTGGTTTACGTGTTTATGTTTGATTTGATAATTGAGACCCAGGAAAATGGAAAAAAGTTATGTGAATTGATAAATGGATAATGTAGACAGCCTGACTAGATATCTTGGGAGATGGTGGACGGACCGGGTCCGTAGGGAACGTGGTCTCTTATATCGGATGAGGTATGGGGACCTTATGTGTTTCGGCGCCCATACCGGACAGGGTATGCGGACGGCCCGTTTCACCCTTATACCGGACGAGGTATTATGTTCATGGTTTTTAAGCACCCATACCGGACGGGGTATGGGGACGGTCTTAAAATTAAGTTATTAATGTTAATGGTTTACGTGT